TCAGCACGCCCTAGGAGGATGACTGGAGTTCACTTGGTGGGCCCAGTCGTAGGCCAGGGAAGTGTGGTGCAGGGCGGTGGGGCTGTTGTGCAGCTGCTGTGGAGGTGGGAGCAGCAGGAAGCAGAACTGGGCCAGTGCTGAGCCCAAGACCCTGCATTTGACCTTATGAGTAGCAAGGGCCATTGAAAGGTGATTTTTAAACAGGTGTACCATGTCAGGGGTTAACTTATTAGGTTAACCTTCTTCTGTGTGGTGGGTGGATTAAAAGGGGAGACCAGCTCTTTTTCTCGGCACCTCAGAGGCCGTGGGCTGCTTCAGGATGAAGCTGAGCATGGCTTTCCCAGACACTGGGTGCCAGAAACTCACCAAAGTGGACAGCGGATGCAAATGTCGTACCTTTTATGAGAATCCTGTGGCCATGGAAGTTGCTGCTGACGCTCTGAGTGAAGAACAGAAGGGTCGCGTGGTTCGAATCAGTGGTGGGAACAACAAACAAGGTTTCCCCAAGAAGCAGGGTAACTTCACACACGGCCGTATCTGCCTGCTGTTGAGTAAGGGGCATTCCTGTCAATGACCAGGGGGCGCTGGAGAGAGTGTGCATCCGTTCGGGGGCGCACAGTGGACGCCAGTCTCCGTGTTCTCAATCTGGTAATTGTAAAAAAAAAAAGTGGGAAAAGTATTCCTGGTCTCACTGACACTACTGTGCCTTGTCACCTGGGGTCCAAAAGAGCTAGCAAAATCCACAAATCTTCCAGTCTCTCTAGAGAAGATGGTGCCCACCAATATGGGGTGAGAAAGCCCCTAAATGAAGATGGCGATGAACCCAGGACCAAAGTACCCAAGATTCAGTGTTTTGCCACTCCATGCATCCAGCAGCGCAAGTGTCAGCACATTGCTCTGAAGAAACAGTATACAAAGAAAAATAAGGAAGAGGCCACAGAAGATGCTAAATTTTTGGCCAAGAGAATGAAGGAGGCCAAAGAAAAACACCAGGGACTGACTGCCAAGAAACATAGGCTGCTCTCTCTGAGAGCTTCTACCTTTGTCTGAGTCCAGTAAAAAATGACATTTCCTCAAAGTAGCAAGTAAGAATAGACATTTTAAAAATATATATAGTTGAGACCAGATGCAGGGAGACCAATCAGGCTCTGAGATCCAGTGAAGTTTAAGAAATATTTAGAGTGGAGCAGCCTGGAGGAGCAGACCAGAGCACCTGGGGGAGTATGTGAACACCAAATGCCTGTCCTGGGCTTTAACAGGCAGACTCAAGACAGAGATGATTGGGCCTTCACCTCTTCTCTGTCTCTTACTTACTCCGTGACCTTGAGCAGGTTACTTGATTTCTCCGTGCTTCCATTGCTGCATCCACCGAAGAGCTGGGAAGGGTGCCAGCGTGCCTGGACACGTGGGAAAAGCTCAGAAGAAAACAAAGATGGTCATGCTCCAGGCCAGCCCCAGGATCCCAACCTGGGTGGCCGCTGGTGTTGCCTACCCAGCTCTGGAGAAGGGCAGATTTGAATTGTTGAGTCTAAGGTCAGCCAAGTGAACAACTGGACACGAGCATCCGGAGTGCACCTGCCTGGTCAGCGCATGACCAGCAGACACAAACAGGAGGCTCTGGCTGTTTCCAGTCAGACCAATAATAGAAGAACTCAGGTTCCTCTCCAGGGAAGTGCCCCTTGGAGCTTCTGTACTCTGTGGTGAGAAACAGCTGGAAATGGCCTAAGAGAGGGAGCTGAATCAGGGTTGGAGGCCTCTGGGTGCTGGTGAAGAAGGGGTCATTCTCTGGACCCACCCTCAGCCCCCTTCCCTGTCGTTAGCAGATTGGTGCACATCCATATCCTCTGAACTGCAGTCATCTGGCCACACTCTTCTGCCCGGAATGAGGGGATAAGCACGAGTGCTTTCTGCAACTTGCTTTTTTCACTTAAAAATGTATCTTCACCCATGTCATTATATAAAGCCACCTTGTGTTTTTAGTGAACACAATATTCCATGGATGTACCAAGATTCACTCTGCCATCCCTCTAGTTGGATATTTAGCTAATTTTCAACTTTTTGCTACATCGTACTTTCTTACACATGCTGCTGTGGTCACTTGTGTATTTCTAGATGGACAGATGGGCTGATGATATTTAATAGGAATAAATACTAAGCCTGTCTGTGTTTATTGCAAAAGCAGGAGCCACAGATGGGCAGCCAGATGGAGGGTTCAGTCCACAAGCTGGTGCAGAAAAATCGTGAGCAAATATCACTCGTGTTTCAGTTCCTTCTAGCTCATCCATATGGTTTAGATGAGGCAACCCTCCTGCACAATTCTGAGGCAATAAGGAAGGAAATAAACCCACAGATGTCTCCTATTCCCACGCCCAGAGAAGGAGACATGCCTCCAGTCCTCTTGCCTGGGCCCTACCCCTTTCCTGCCCAGCCCCCACTCCTTACCCAGGAGATGTGTTTCATGAGTCTGGGGCAGTGATATAATAAAAAATGAATATGATTGTGTCACTTAATAACAGGGACACATTCTGAGGTGACTTTGTAGTTGTGTAAACATCATAGAGTGCACTCACACAACCTGGGTGGTGTAGCCCACCGTGCACCCATGCTCTGTGGCTTCCCACTGCAGTAACGTGCGGAGTCCATTCTGGCCCATCTGTCGTTAGGATGTGTCTGACCCAGATCCTGGTACACAGCTCCCACGGTCATCCTTCAGAATTTCCAGAGTGATAAGAGTGTCTTTTGTGTGATAATGAGATAATAGGCAGCTGGTGGCCCCTGTATAATTTAGGGATGGAAAATGGTCACCTGAAAGACCAGAGCATGATTAGAGGGTAGAAAACTTTCAATCCACAGCCCCCACCCCCCCAACCTCCAGGAGGAGAGAGAGGCTGCAGACTGGTGAATCACCAGTGGCCAAGGACTTATTCCATCATGTCTACGTAATTAAGCCTCCATAATACCCCTGCACAGTGACGGGGCTTGGAGAGCTTCCAGATCAGTGAGCATACCCATGTGTCAGGAGGGGTCACACCCCAGCTCCTCGGGGCAGAAGCTCCTGTGCTCAGGGCCCTTCTGGACCTCACTCTACACACCTCTTTATCCAGCTGTTCATCTCCTTCCTCCATTATTTCCTTTATAAAAGCCATTCAGAGCAAAGTGTTTCCCTGAGTTCTGTGAGCAGTTCTAGCAAATTATCTACCTGAAGAGGGGGTCGTTATAGACAGCTGGTGAGAAGTACGGGAGGTGCAGGACTTGCACCTGGTGTCTGAGTGGCACAGTCGTGTAGGGCTGAGCCCTTTGTCTGTGGAGTCCATGCTAAGTGGGGTAACAACTGAATTGCAAGACAGCTGGTTGGAGTCCACAGAGACGGGGAGTTGTTTGGTGTGGAGAAGCCCACACGGCAGTTGTCAGAGTGATGTCTGAAAACACTTAGGTGCACTCTCTTGGGATGGATGCAGCTTTCAGGGTGTCATACGGCTAGCTCTTGGCTGGGCAGGTCCCTGGCATTCCTGTCCTGGGTGAGCTGGACTGGCAGAGTTGGATCTGCGACTGTGGTCATGCTGGGTCGGAGGGGCTGGGCTCATAGGTGTGAGTAGGGTTGAGTGTGGAGTTTCCCCCTCGTGTCCTCACGTCCACTGTCCCTCCCTCTTTCCCAGGCCCCAGCCATCAGTTCCTCCTGAGCCACCACCTTGGTCCAGGGCTTTTGGTCAGAAAGGGATGGGGGTGTTATCTCTAAATGATTTATTTCCTTCTGAGACCCAGACTGAGGAAAGGGGACCAAATACTATTTTTTTAACTGCTTTATCTTTAGGAGACAGGTTTAATAAATCTGGCTCCTTCTGACAGGTACTAAGTGATCTTTGATTTCTGATTCCCATCTAGCCCTGCCCTGGGAAGCAAGCACCGCTGAGAGGTTAGCTGGTTGAATGAAGGTGAGGGTAGCTGCGGGGGCAGTCTGAGCCTCTCTGGGTTTACTAAAAGCAGTGACTGCCCTGGCCTGCGTGTGAGGGGAGATTCGTTTCAGTCCCTGTTACTGAGTAACAGGCACAGTTGGTTTGGCAGACCAGCCTGTTCCAAGGCAGCTGCTCACCCGTGAACACTTCTGGACAGGCTACGTGTCCTGGCTGAGTTCCAAAGGCCATGCCATGGAGGTGTCTGCCTGGCTTGGCATGCTGATTTGACCTGTAAGCCAGTACCAGGACAGGAGGGGCCTACTGGCATCTGATGGAACCAGAGCCATCACTGTTACCAACAGGGAGGATCTGGGGGCCGGTCTGGAGCTACATCCCAACTTTGCCTCTTAAGAGGGTTTGAAATGACAGGCGGCTCAGCTTCCTGGCCTCCGTTCCTGACTGTGATGTGGTGTCACTCACCTGAGAGGTTTGCTGAGCACAATGGGAGTGTGCGAAACAGCTGAGCACAGTCAGTCCTCAGCCGCAGGCAGGCGCTTGCTAGATATCAGGTCCCTTCATGCACCTAAGAAGGCCGTGGGCACCCAAAAAGAGGGTCAGGATGAGGGGCTCGGGCTGGTCTCACTGGTCTGGAAAGAGAAATTTGGCAACAGGCCTCTACCACCCAGCATGGGTGCATTCTGGGCCCAGAACTGCTGTGGCTGGTAGCAAACCACATGCTGTGCGAGTCACATCCCAGGTCCTTCTCGGTCCACTTACAGCCCAGTGGCTGCCGGATGCAGCTGCCTGTCAGGGTGGTGTACTCGGAGGGGAGACATCTGTGCCCACCCCTCCATGCTTCTTAGGGGAATTAAATACAGGTTGAGCCACGATTAGGTAACTGAGCCCTTTCTGGGTCTATTCTGGCTGCCTTTGGATCCACTAAATTTTCTTTATGTTTCCCAAACTTTCTCTAAATTTAAGGAGGCTCCCTTTCCCAACCCTCCCTTTCACCTCCCCCCAAAGGGGAGGGTTGGGAAGTGGAGGAGACAGAGCTGCACTTTGAAGCAGGTTCCCTGCACTTGGCCACATCATAGGCTGGAGATGCCACGGTCTTGCTTGGTTTAATGATCAATTTATCCCCGCTGGGAGGTCACATTAGACCTGGTTTGGCCCTCATTCCCTCGGGCTCCGAGAAGGCACCTGCTGCAGGATGGCGTTGGACAACTCCACCGGCGACCCTCATGTGCCTTGGGCACAGCTGAGCTTGGCTGACATCATCGTCATCACAGTGTACTTCGCCTTGAATGTGGCCGTGGGGATATGGGTGAGAGGACTGGGACGGGTTGTGGGGACTGGGGTCCCCTGTGGCCTCTCCTCTGTGCCATCTCCTCAGGCAGCTGGGGCCCTCAGGGGTCCTGCCCCCAGTCCTGGGGTAGATTTATCAGTTGACCAACTTCCTTTCTCTCTCTGGGCAATGGATTCTCAGCCCACAAAGTGAGGAAGAGGAAGGTCTATCTAAGCGACAGGCGTTACAGGAAGCTCAGTGGGCTTTTACACGGCGGGGGGCCTGGCTGCGGCGTGTCACCTTCCAGGCGTCCATCTCCTCCATGTCGGATGGGCTCGCTGGCGAATATCTCCCTCAGAACAGAATCACATGGGTTCCTGACTGTCCCCTAGACCTTCTGGGTCACAACCCAGAGGTGTGGAGGGGCACTTGGGGCCTGGGCAAGGGTATCTTGATTTTTAACAAGCTCCCCAGGGCATCCGAGTTTGCCACCTAGCCCAATCCAGAGGGCAGTTTCTCTCACCCTCGATAGGAAAGAGACATGATAGGAGTCATCACAGAGTCCAGTGGAGCAGTGGCCTTGTGACGCAGGTGCCATGCAGACAGTCTCACGGGCAGGGGAGCCAGGGTTCACAGTGAGCCCCAGGCCCCTCTGAACAGGGGAGGGGCCCCTGTTTATATGTGAGGCTGATCTCTGAGGCCTCCCGACCAGGAGTGAGCACAACAGGCCTCTCAGCTTTGGGTCTGCTGGAGATGGGCTACCCTCCCAGTACCGAGGGTCCCAGGCCAGTCTCCTTGAGCCTTGACATGTTGTGGTCTTCACCTTCTTATCTGCTTGGGTGCTTGGCCTAACCCTGAGGGCTGGGGAGAAGAGAATGGCTGTGTCCTCTGCTCCGGCACTCTAGGAAGTTGCTTGGCTTTCTGGGACCCGGAGTCCTGATTTGTAAGATGCACCCACCACCTACCTCGTCCTTAGCCCACATCCTTGACGTAGAGGGAGATCTACTAAGGGTGCTAGCCCCTGCTGTTGCTGCTGTTGCCACAGGAGCAGCGGTGGCAGTTGTCATCATAATCACTGTGGCAGCGGTGGTGGTCATCATAGTCACCGGGGTGGTGGCAGTGATAATTAGTGGTGATAGTTGTGGTAATAGTAATAGCAACAACAACAACAGCAGTAACTGAAGTTGATTGTTTCATGATTAAATGATAAGTCACAGTGCTGGTAGCCCAGTCACTTAGAGCATCACCCTGATATGCCAAGGTTGCAGGTTCCATTGTTGGTCAGGGCACACACAAGAATCAACCAATGAATGCATCAGTAAGTGTAACAAGTCCATGTTTTGTGCGCATCCACTCTCTCTCTCTCTCCTCCCTTTGTTCTCTCTTTAAAATCAGTTAATAATTTTTAATTAAAAAAAAAAACCCTATAGATGGTAAATCAGAGTGGTGGCTGTCTAGAAAGCTGGGCTCTGGTCCTGACTCTATGTGCTTGGAACCCATTACTTAGCTCTCTGGCCTCCCTTTCCTCAAACACACAGTGCAGTGTCTGCGCAGCCCAGTTCTGAGGAGTGCATGGGCCCCTGGGCATGAGTATCTAGTGCTACCCTAGCGGGCAGTGTTCCTGGGGGAGCTGGGAATGCAGAGGAGGGGCATGCACACAGAATGAGCGCAGAGGTTTTCCAGACCAGATGAGGTGACAGCCCTGCTGAAGGTCAGCAAGTTCTTGTGAAAGAGGAGGAGAAGAGAGAGAAGAGAGAGCTTTCTGGGTCAGCACCAGCAGGCACTGAGTTGGAAGTGCATACCTAAGAAAGGTATTTTGGCCAGACCCTAGGCTGCCCAGTGACTTGGGCCCCTTAGCATCGACCTCTCCCAGCTCCTTCTGGCTATTATCCAGGCAGTGTGGGGTTGTGGGAATTCTAACCTGTCTCTCTCAGTGTCCATGCCAGCCCAGCTGAGCACAGCTGGCAGAGAGCTGTGAGCATATGCAGAGAGGGACAGGGTTAGGTGAGGGGGGTGCAAGAGGTCCCATAGGGTTGTAGGTGCTCATGGGCCAGAGGCAGACAGAGCAAGCTGGGGAGGTATAGCTCTGCAAAGCAGCTCTGATCATGGGAAGATCAGGAGAGCCAGGGCGGGAGAGGGAGGCTTCAAGGAGGAGAGGACCCTGAGCTTACTCTTGGTATCTGTGAGGGTCTCTGTTAACAAGGGACAGAAAAGCAACTTCAAAAGAGCTAAAGACTGAAGAAAAGGTAATGACACCCATACTGAAAACTCCAGCAACAATGAAGGCTTAGGTACAGTGTGCTCCAGGGCTGCACTTCGCTGTGGTTCTCAGCCTCCACCTGTGTGTGGCTTTGTTCTGAGCCCAGTTTCTCTTAAGGAGGCAAAACGTCCAGCTTAGTGGTTGAGCCTGGGTTTAAATCCCGATTCCACCACTTACTAGCTGGGTGTCTTTTCACTGCTGAAAGCATTGCTGCCTTGTTGTTAACACAAGGATGATTGTGGTACTTACTTCATGGGGCTGCTGTTAGAAGGACAAACTTCATGTGGGTAAAACACTTGGAGCTCGCTCTGCCACAGAGGGTTCTCAGTGGGCACTAATGCAGCCTACGTGGCTACCGTAGCCTCAGAGCCCCAGCTTCCTCATCCAAGTCAGTGACTGTCCCTGAACCACGTGTGACAGCTGAGAAACGGGATGGGCTCAGGGACCCACAAGCTGCAGACCGGATTTGGCTTACTCAAGTCAAAGGGAAAGACTAGGCCCATTTAGGAAGGGAAGGGAAGGGAAGTAAGGAGACAATTGGCAGTGCCCACTATATCCATGAAAGATGACAAGACAGGGTGAGGAAAAGCCTGGGTTAAGGCCAGAGCTGCTCTGGAGTTGTGTGGTGCCCAGCTGGGTGTGGCCATCCCTCTGAGACTGCATTCCGCGTGGCTAGGCCTCAGGGACAGAGAGAAAGTAGTGGGGGCTGGGGCTGGAGAAGAGCATGAAGGAGCTGCATCAAAATCTTTGTGTTTAAGGTATATTTTATTGACTATGCCATTACACTTGTCCCATTTTTTCTCCCCTTTATTCCTCTCCACCCTGCAGCCCCCTCTCACCAGCATTACTTCCCCCCCTGCCCCGCCACCACCGCCTTAGTTCATGTCCATGGATCGTACATATAACTTCTTTGGCTTCTCAATTTCCCATACCATTCTTAACCTCCCCATGTCTATTTTATACCTAACATTTATACTTCTTATTCCCTGTACCTTTTCTCCCATTCCTCCCCTCCCCATCCCTGCTGATAACCCTCCATGTGAGTTCCACTTCTGTGATTCTGTTCCTGTTCTAGTTGTTTGCTTTTTTTTTTTTTTTTAGGTTCAGTTGCTGATAGTTGCTTGTTGTCATTTTACTGTTCTATTTTTGATCATCTTATTTTTCTTAGATAAGTCTCTTTAACATCTCATATAGTAATGTCTTGGTGATGATAAGTCCCTTTAACTTTACCTTATCTGGGAGGCACTTCATCTGCCCTTCCATTCTAAATGAAAGCTTTGTTGGATAGAATAATCTTGGATGTAGGTCCTTGACTTTCATGGCTTTGAATCCTTCTTTCCAGCCCCTTCTTGCCTGCAAAGTTTCTTTTGAGAAGTCAGCTGATAATCTAATGGGAACTCCTTTGTAGGTAACTGTCTCCTTTTCTCTTTCTGCTTTTAGAATTCTCTCCTTCTCTTTGATCTTGGCTAATGTAATTATGATGTGCCTTGGTGTGTTCCTTGGATCCAACTTCTTTGGGATTCTCTGAGCTTTTTGGACTTGCATGTTTATTTCCTTTGCCAGATTGGGGAGGCTTTCCTTCATTATTTTTTCAAGTAAGTTTTTGATTTCTTGCTCTTCCTCTTTTCCTTCTGGTACCCCCATGATTTGGATGTTGGAACATTTAAAGTTGTCCCAGAGGTTCCTAAGCCTCTCCTCATTTTTTTGAATTCTTGTTTCTTTAAAAAAATTTTTTTTATTATTATTTTTGAATTCTTGTTTCTTCATTCTGTTCTGATTGAATGCTTATGTCTTCCTTCTGTTCTAAATTGTTGATTTGAGTCCCAGTTTCCTTCCCTTCATTGTTGGCTCCCTATATATTTTTCCTTATTTCACTTTGTATAGCCATTACTTCTTCCTCTATTTTGCGACCACACTCAGCCATTTCTGTGAGCATCCCAATTACTAGTGTTTTGAACTCTACATCTAATAGGTTGGCTATCTCTTCATTGCTTAGTTCTGTTTCTGAAGTTTTGATCTGTTCTTTCATTTGGGCCATATTTCCTTGTCTCAGCGTGCCTGTTTTGTAGTAAGGGGTGGAGCCTTAGGTATTCTCCAGGGCAGGGCAAACCACTTCCCTGCATTGAGGAGCTATTTGTGGGGGAGGAGTTCAAGAGGGAACAATGTCCCTTGCTTTTCTCTAATCCAGCTTTCAGGTATGTCCCCCGCTACTTACAAGCACATTGGACCCATCTGGTGCTGATTCCCAGGTGGGTGAGTTTGTGTATGTTTTAGAACCCTGTGGGTCTCTCCAACAAACTCTCCTGTGAGGCTGGGAGTTTCTCCTGCCACTGCAACCTCCACAGACTTTTTTACACCAGGGGTTTTGAGTCTTTCTTTTCCCATGCTGTAACCCTGGGTTGCATGGTCTGTCTCACTCCCCATTTGTTCCTCCTGGCTTATCTGCATGCAAAAGTGGGACTGTCTGCTCTGCCAGCCACCACCCTACCTGCCCCAGTCTGCCAGCCACTGCCTAGCTGCACATCCTCTCCGCCCTGGCTACCCATCTCTTCCCCTCCTACCAGTCTGAATGAATGTTTCTTCTTTAACTCCTTGCTTGTCAGACTTCCATACAGTTTGATTTTCTGGCAGTTCTGTTTATTTTTTGCTTTTAAATTTGTTATTGTCTTTCTTTTGGTTGTGTGAGGAGGCAAAAATGTAGCATCAAAATCTTTGAATAGTAGGTCCAGACAAATTGGCTTAATCATCTTGAATATAGGCTGTGGACAAAGTCAGGAAGAAAGGAGCCTATATAGTGATTGATATTTTGTGGCATGCTGTGAAAAAGGAATGCAAAATATCTGTCTAGATATACCTCCCATGTCCCTCTTTCCAAATTTTTTCTGTTTTCAAGTTTACACCTTTTCAGTTCCTCTCATCCAGGTAGCACTGAACAGGGGCGTGAAAAAGCTGCGTGACCACTGATCCTTACTGAACACTCACCAGGCCCCAGCACTATTGTCAGAGTGTTACATGGATTAACCCACTAACCTCCTAAACACCCTGTGAGGGCACAACTGTTATTTGGACACAATTCAGAAGAGGAAATGGAGGCACATAGGCTAAGTCATTTGCCCAAGGTCACACAGCCAGGAGGAGCCAGGATTTGCTCCCAAGCATCCTGATTTCAGATTTTAAAAATCCCATATGCATGGAACACAAAATCTATACCCCCAAACAAAAGGCATGCAGGGATACACAGATGATAATTTGTTGAAATGTATCAGAAATATAAGTATTACAAGAAATCAAGGCCAGACCTGGCTGGTGTGGCTCAGTGGGTTGGGCATCATCCCACAAACTGAAAGGTTGCCTGTTCGATTCTTGGTCAGTCACGTGCCTGGGTTGCAGGTTCAGTCCCAGTTGGGGCACATACAGAAGACAGCCAATCAATGTTTCTCTCCATCTTCTTCTCCCTCCCTTCCCCTCTCTCTAAAATCAAAAATTAAAAAAAAACAACAGATCAAGGCCAACGGCTCTCAGATTTTTTGGCTCAAAGAAAGCTCAGCTTAGCTGCTGACTGAGGAATGATCTCAGAGAGGTAAAAATGTAGACTTGACCTTCAGGGCCACAGTAACTGTTCTGAGGCTGTTTGACCAGTCGAGGACAGGAAGCATGGAGGAGAGCTGCTCAGCCAGACATGTGACACCCTACTCAATGATGGGCAGTGGGGCTCATGGTCACCGGCTCCCTGTTGTGTCTGTGTTCACCCCTCCCTCAGGCCCAGAGCTCGGGGTGGGGGCAGTGGCAGGGGCGGGCAACAGCCTAGAGAAGGCTGGAAATAGCAGAAGCTCTGGAGAAGCTGACTGCTGAGTCCAGAGGCAGGGGTTCTGGGCTGAGGATGGGGAGCTGGCTGCCTGTGTTCTTTTTGTTTAAATGGGTAACAATCCCATTATGTAAAACTCACCATTTTAACCATTTTAAAGTATACTATTTAGTGCATTCACAAAGTTATACAACAATTACAACTATCTATTTCCAAAACATTTTCATCTCCCCAAGAGGAAGCCCTGCACCTGTGAGCAGCCACTCCCTGGCACCCCCCTCTCCTGGAAGCCCCGCACCTGCTTTTTGTCTTTGGGGATTCACCTACTCTGGACATCCGCATACACAGAACCAGAACCCCTGTGGCCATTTGCAACTGACTTTCTTCACTTAACAGAACGTTTTCGTGTATTAGTATTTCATTCCTTCATCTGGTTGGATAATATTTTGTTGTGTGGAGAGACTGCATTTTGTTACCCATTCACCAATTGATGGACAATTGGATAGTTTCTATCTTTTAGCCGTTGTGAATGCTGCTGATATGTGCATTCATATGTCTGAGTTGTGTCTGAACACCTGTTTTCACTCTTAGACGTGCAGCTAGGAGTGGAATCGCTGGGCCATAAGGTAACTGTATGTGTAACCTTTTGAGGAATGGCCAGATGGTCTTCCACAGCAGGGGACTGTTTCACACTCCCTCCAGCAATGCACAGGGTTCAAACTTCTGCTCTGTCCTTGCAGTCCTCCTGTCGAGCCAGCAGGAACACAGTGAGTGGCTACTTCCTGGCCGGCCGGGACATGATGTGGTGGCCGGTGAGTGCACCCTGACTCCTCCTGCTTCTCCTTTCCGGGGGCCACATTTGACCTCCAGGCCAGCCAGCATCTGCCTTCCTGAGGTCACTGCCCAGGATGGCTTAAGCAGGTGGTGACAGGGCAAGCTGAGGCTGTCAGATTATCCCCAAGGTGGGGGTGTAGGAGTGGGGTGCTGGAAACTGGGAAGGGCGCAGGTGTTGGAGTCCAAGGTGGTCCACAGCTGATCCCTTTTCCTCTCTCCCCTCCAGATTGGAGCCTCCCTCTTTGCCAGCAGCGAGGGCTCAGGCCTCTTCATTGGACTGGCAGGCTCAGGTGCAGCTGGAGGCCTGGCTGTGGCAGGCTTTGAGTGGAATGTGAGCACCTGGAGGCTGGGCCCAGGCTGTGGGAGGGTGTAAGCACCTGGAAGGCCCTAGATGGCAGGCCCCATTGGAGTCCACCCCTCAAAGGCTAAAGGGACACCTCCCAGCTGCCTGGGTCAACCAGTGTCTGCATGTGTCCTTTGCAGCAATGCTCCTGGGGAAGTCTGGCCAAAATGCTGGACAGACCAGTGGGCAGGGAGCTGCTGGCCTTGGCCCAGGCTGTCTGTTTACAGAGGCGGAGGGAAGGGAAGGGGCTGCCCTGGGTGTTCATGGCTAGTCAGGCCTCCGGACCACCGGTCCCGGTTTCACTCTGGGCAGGGCCTGTGGGAGCTATGCCCACTGTTCTCACCCTGCCTCTGTCCCCCTCAGGCCACATACGTGCTGCTGGCCCTCGCATGGGTGTTTGTGCCTATCTACATCTCCTCAGAGGTGAGTCTGTTCAGGGCAGCCTTGCGTGGGCCTGGGCCCTGGTCCGGTTTGGTGGTGGGGATGAGCAGGATCCCCTGGCTTCACTCACAAGTTGGTGAATACTCAGAGTTGTGTCTGTTATTAGTTCATTTAACATTCCTATCAACCCATAAAGGCAGGGCCCCTGGGTTGTCAGCTCAGGTACCTGTCTGGTTTCCATTGCCCTGGCATGCTGCATCTTGGGGATGATGCTCCCTCTAACTGGGCAGCACATCTGGACATCTGGGTGGCACACCTGAGCCACACACCTATGTGCTGCTCCTGGGCTGCAAACCTGGGCAACACTGTCCCTGATGCTGCCCATTCTTTTAGCCACAGCTGAGCAGCCACTAAGTCTAGGCAAGGGTGTCTAACCTTTTGGTGTCTCTAGACCACACTGGAAGAAGAAGAGTTGTCTTGGGCCACACATTAAATACATAGACACTGATGAAAACTAATGAGCAAAAAAAGGTTTTAAGTAAATTTACGATTTTGTGTTGGGCCAAATTCATAGCCATCTTGGGCCCATGGAGCCTGTGGGCTGGACACTGGGATTCCATTTCCTGGATCTCTCAGTCTGTCCTCCACTCTGCCCCTCACAGCCACCTTCTCCATCTAGCCTCAACATAGCTTGTCTGGTTTTGTCATAACAGTTTCCCACCATGTCCCTTTGTTCCCAGCTACGATCCCTCAAATCCATTCCTCACATCAATCTTGCAGAGCCCATGTGAGCCTTCGACTCCCCTGCCTAAAACCCTTGGGGATGGTCAGACCCTGAGCCTGGAGTTCAATGCCCAGTGTGGCCTGCGCCTCGCCCTTGGACGGCTCCAGCCCTGAAGGCCTTAAAGGCCCTGAGTGCTGGGCACCATCTCAGGAGAGTGCTCAGCCCCCGCCCCTGTCTCCCCAGATTGTCACCATGCCTGAATACATTCAGAAGCGCTACGGAGGCCAGCGGATACGCATGTACCTGTCTGTCCTGTCCCTGCTGCTGTCTGTCTTCACCAAGATATCGGTGAGTTGCCCTATGCCCTGCTGCTGGCCAGCATAGCCTGGAAGCATCCCACTCTGGGGGCCCCTCAAACAGACCTGACATCTCATCCATTTCTGCCTTGTTTAACATCTGGGGAAACAGAGGCCCAAAGAGGGACAATGACTTGCCTAGGGTCACTTGGTGAGTTTGTGACAGCTGGTCTGGGCCCCAGTAGGCTCAGCAGCCAGCATAGTTGGGGGCAGAACGTAGGTTCTGTGACTCCTGATTCACCCCAGGTTCTAGACTGGGGGCACCAGAGGGGTACTCGGTATCAGGGGCTGGTGGTGGGTGTCCCCGCCCACCTCCCACCTTCCTGGGCCTGCACCAAGTGAGCCAGCACTGCCCACTAGGGGGCGCTGAGAGTCTGCAGGGTCTGGGCTGAGCTTCAGAGCCTTTTAGGAACCTGCTTCCTGCCTCTCCCCAGTGGCTGGGCAGCTCTGCCATATACTGATCTGCAGCAGCGCCCTCCTGGCAACAGGAGGCCACCGCAGAGGACACTTCCAGGCCTCTCTCCCTGGCGGCCTGGTCCTGGCCCCACTGGAAGGTCAAGAGCTGAAAACACAGCAGAGGGTCAGTCAGGACTTGCTGATGGCCGATCTTGTCTGAACCCCTGACTTCACAGATGGAGAAACCGAGGCCCAGGGTGGGGACTTCTGGTTCTCACATCCCCTAGGGCCAGCTAGCCTACTTCTGCGCCAGCTGCTGACAGGGCTCAGGATGGCAGGGCCCCCGGGCTGCAGCTCTGGGTCGGCTGGCTCTGGCTGGGTGAACCTGGACAAGCCTGAGCCTTGTGAGGCAGAGGACTGGCTGGCAGGTCCGCCCTCAGGGCTGCAGTGGAGGGTGAGGAAGGCAGGTCCATGGGGTGGTGGGAAGTGCTCAGTGAGGCTGGCTTTCTCCTCGATGTTAGGATCACATACTGGACCCTCTTCATGTGGGTGCTGGGACTAGGAATCCCAGGCATGCCATTGGCTTTGTGGAGTGAGTGGAGGCCTTGCTGACCAGCCAGGAGCTGCGCGCAGGGCTCCCAGGGGACCAGGCCCTGGGCCAAGCTGGGCATCCCCCTAGTCCCCTCACTGGGCCCTGACTATGGTCTGGCCTGTGCATGAGAGTAGTGTCCGGTGGCCCTCTGCAGACCTCTGGATCCTTGTCAGGCTGGCCTGTGCCTTGCACCCACCAGACAACCATGGGACCCCCAGGGCATCTTGTTATTCCTGTGAGCAGCTTTCTGGGGATAGTCAGCAAGCGAGCACCCCTCAGCCTTTTGTACTAGATGCGTGCAGTGTCATTAGGGCTCTCTAGGTCTCTCGGAGCAAAGGGACCTGGCTCCTCTAAGGCCCAGGGTAAAATTTCCCACTCATGTTCTTTCCTCCCTCCCACGTTTTCTAGCCCCTCCGCCCCCTCACCGACCACCATCTCCCTGGGAACCAGGGGCTGCACTGCAGTGGGAGGCAGATGTGTACATGGGAAGGACACGCGTGGTCCTCAGAAGAGATGGCATCTGAGTTGGGCTTTAATGGAGAAAGGGATAGTGACAGGGGAGCGGGGGGCCAAGGAGAGAGATGGGGTATGTAGGATGCGTCGGGTCAGGAGGCCTGGACTCTATGGGTCAATAGTCAGGCAATTCGGGGACCAGAGAGAAAACTGTGAGGAGGAGCAGGGAGGGAGGTGACAGGGAGTGGTAGGGACTGAGGTGCTCCAGCAGTCACACAGAGCAGACCTGTGAGACATTTGGTTCTGGGGCTGCCAGTGTCCCACCCCTGGCCTGGAGGGCACCGTGAGGGATGAGGCCAAGAGCTCCAACGGAAGGGGTCCTAGTGCCCCGGCAGCACCAGGGCTTTAAGCAATGTAGTGACCCAGTCAAGTTTGTGTGAGTGCCTCTGGCGCCTCTCAGAGGACAGGCTGAGGGGACAGAGAGAGGCAAGGGGGGTGGCACACTGGGGTCTGGAGGGATGAGTCATGGGGGAGGGGGGGTGAGTGGGACTCCCAGAATGAATGAGGGTTAAGGGGGAGGAGGGTTAAGTGCAGCTAGGTCCCAGCACTGAGACCTAGAGAGAGGGGTCACGCCTCTAGGGCCAGGGGCCTGACCACTGTCCCGAGGCACTGAAGCAGCCAGGACGCAATGCTTCAAATGCCACTTTGTGATGAGGATGACTCGGTTTATCCACCTGTAAAATGGGAAGCAACCTGTTGATGACAAGGCTCTGGCTGGCCAGATAAGTAAACAGGGAGCACTAGATGCCAGGCTTGGTTTGGGAGGGGCTGGGGCCACCATGGCTGCTGCCCCGGGCTGAAGCCGTTTGAAGTGTGTGTGCTGGCCAGCCGACCCCATACGCCCTGACCTCACTGGGCTGAGCTGCGGGAATGCCTGGGTCTGCATTTCCAGGACCCATCCCAGCTGCAGCCTGTGCAGACAGATACCACAGGGCTGCCTGCTGCCACCCCTTCGGGGCCTGCCCTGGTCTGTGGAGAGGATGTGCAGTGTCAGAGTGCAGAGACCACACTGGCTCAAGGACAGGGCGGGAGCCGAGGTCCAGCTCCGTCACCAAAGTAGCTCCCCACCAATCCAACCTCCGGAAAGTGGATAAACCTGTCAAGACACCTCAGGCCACTTGGAATGAAGACCAGCTGTGGCCTACAAGGTCCTTCAAGATGCAGCCGCTGCTTCATTGCCAACCTCACCTCTCCCTCTTCTGTCACACACAACCCTCCCGCCATGGCCTCCTTGCGATTCCTTAAACATGCCAGGCGGGACTCTGCCTCAGCATCCTTGCCCTTGCTGTGGCCTCTGCCTGGAAACTTCTTTCCCTGGATATCCACATGGCTCATTCCCTCACCTCTTCCAAGTCTTTCAGATCTCACCTTCTCAACGAGATTACTCCTGCCCCAGCAGGGCCAGACCCACTTCCCTGCTCCCTCTTTTTCACGCGCGCACTGTCTTCCAGTGTGCTGAACAGGCTACTTAGAATGTCTCTTGTCTGTCTCTCCCGTTTTTTTCTTTGTTTACTGATGTAGTTCCAATGCCACTTCATGGGACTGAATGAAATAATGTGTCCCAGGGATCAGCTAATTTTTTATAGAGCCAGAAGTAAGTATTTGTGGCTGTGCAGGCCACCTGCAAACTACACTTGACCCTTCAACAACATGGGTTTGAATGGGACAGGCCCACTTATACACGGAATTTTTTTCCCACTAAATACACCGTCGGCCCTCATACCCCTGGGGTTTGCATTGGTGACTGGGAGCCCGCGGATGCAGAGGGCCGACTGTCTGCATTGTCCTTATGCCACTTTACCTGAGGGACAGGAGTATCGGTGGATACTGGTGTCTGTGCGGAGTCAAAGGTTATACTTGGGTTTTCGGCTGTTTGGGAGTCGGGGCTCTGAACTCCCATGTTGTTCAAGGGTCAGCTGCTTTCAACTTTGTCGCTGGAGTGTGGAAGACAGTGCCAATGGGTGTGACTGCATTTGGTCCGTGGGCACTAGGGTGGCAATCTCTGGTCTGTGGAAAGGGGCCTATTTACCAAGTGCCCTGGCTGAGCCTAGATGATGAACACGTTTCTTGCTTTTAGGGAACTCATGTTCCAGACAGATGAAATAAGTAAACAGATTGATACAGTCACAGTCGGTAAAGGAAGCAAACACTAGGCTGACATCTAGAGTGAGAGAAAAAGCGTAGGGTCCGGGCTTGCTTGGGAGAGTGGTCTGGGATGCTAGTGCAGGGCTTGCGGCAGCCGAGGGAAGCTGGTGCAGCTGAAGCTGTGGAGCCAGGAGCCTGGGAGGGGGTGGCCAGGGGTGTGGGGTGTGCAGTGGAAATGCAGGACCATCCAAGTGCAGAAGCGGCCACTGAGGGGCTTCCAAAGGGATGGGGCCAAGCGAGGTGGGGAGGACTATTTTGTAGCAGTGTCTGGTGGCGTCAGGTGAAAGGGAGTGTGGCCAAGGAGAGAAGTTCCTGGAACCCGGAGGGGATGATTATGGCCTCCATGGAGATGGACAAGGTTTAGGAGCAGGGGACACTGAGGATACTTTAGGGGGGAAGTCACATGGTAAACTTGTGGGCCACCTCATCTTCTCTGCTACCACACGGAGGGAGGGAGAAAGGGCTCCAGGTCGGGAGGCAGCCAGGGCAGGGTGCAGGTTCCGGCACGGGGCAGCCAGCGCTCCTGGGAAACATGGGCTCAGATCAGCCCAATCTGTGAACCAACTCTGTGGACAGCTCCCCTGGCACACCTCCACTGAGCACCCCCTGCCCCACCTTTTCCTCGGCTCAAGTTTTTTTCTGAGCTCCATTAGTTGGTGCCAAAATAGGGTCTGCTCTCTCTAGGGACCTGGGAGCTCCTGGTCCCCAGGGTCAGCCCAGTGGACCCTGGTGACTGCAGGTAGGGCTTCGGGCAAGTTGTCTGACTCCACAGTGGTGCCTCCTCTGGGGAGGGGACTCCTCATGACACCCACCTTGTGGGGCGCCCAAGCACTAGATGAGATACTCAGAATAAAGCATGCAGGGCAGCGTGTGGCATGCGTGTAGGTTTACCAAGCACCCCAGGGGGACTTGCTGGGGTCAGGGTCTGCCGAAGGCATCAGAGATGAGGGTGAGCCCCTGTGGGTAGAAGGCACGATGTAGCCACAGCCTGGGCCTCATGCTGGGGGCAGAAGTAACAGGAGGTGGTAAAGACAGCTGGTGAGAAATGAGTTTGGGGCCAGATCTCAGGGATAACAGAGGGCCTTGGACACCATCCTGGAAGCAGCAGGGGCCATGGCAAGTTTCTGAGTGGGGGCAGATCAGTGGCTCCCGCCCAGCAAGACCCTGGCTGGCCAGGCACCCTGACAGTGGGCCTTCCCAAGTGAGACTTGGGTTTGCTGCCTCTGTCCTTTTGATTTTCTTCCCAGGGTTTTGCCACCATGGGCAAGTCTCCCTGGCCTCGCCTCTCTCTGTGCCCACAGGGAGTTAGATTAGATGCTGCAGCTGCTCCTGGGCCACTAGGCAGGGGGGCACAGAGGGGAGGTGGCTCCCTCAGAAGGGCCACTTCCCATGACCCCAGCCCTCCTGACCAGGGGTCTGTAGAGGCCAGTGGGGATGGAAAGGGGCCAAGGGCTGCCTGCATTCTTCCCACACCCACTCCCGATTCACCGATGAGAGCCCCTGAGGCTCAGGAGGGCTCACAGCCATCTTGCTGGGACACAGCTGACCAGGGACACAGGCCCAGGTCCCTGTAGCTGGCTCTGAGGGCATCTGGGATCCACAGAGGGGTCTTCAGGGGTGGCCAGAGGATGGCCAGGTGGAAGAAGAGGCTTTCTAGGGGGAAGAAGAGCTCTCCCATGCTCCCCACCCTTGGCCCTCTCACCTGGCACCTCCCACCCCTATTTGCCAGTGCCTGTCCTTGGTGAAACCCATTCCCCTTCCTGTGCCTCTGTTTCTCCTCTGGTGTCATGGGTGCTGCTGGCAGATGCACCACCACCACCACCACCACCACACACACACACACACACACACACACACACACACACACACACACAGAGCCAGAGGCCTGAGAGCACCTTGTCAGTCTCCACCCTGGTTGGTCTCTCCAAAGGAGGAGCCTGGAGGGAGAGGTACAGGAACATGGGCTTTGGGTGAGGTCCAGTTCCCACCTGGGCTCTGTGTCCCTGAGGCCTGGGGGAGCAGGAGGCCCCAAGTCTGGCTCCTGGCAGTGCAGGCAGTGCCAAGTTGGACCAGGCCCTGGGGCAACTTAAAGGGGCTGGCACCCCCTGGCCTTGCAGACTGGCCCACAGCCTCGCCTAGCCTTCTTGGGGAGCTCCTGGCCCCAGTGGCCAGTTCAGTCTGTCTCCCCTCTACTCAGCCGGCATAGAGGGGCAGGTCTGGGTATGGGGAGGCCTGGTGCCCTGTCCCCAGGTCTCACAGGGTGGGCTCCTGTCCTCCCACTCAGAGCCTGCTGCATATTGGAGAAGGGGCATGGTCTGGGAGGCTGGGTCCAGTGCTCACCCTGAGGCTAGGATTCTTGCCCCAAATGGGTGCTGGGACAGTGGGGGCTAGTCCTCCTCCGGGACCAGCCTCAACCTAACACATGGTTCTGACTTCAGTTCTGACTTCTAATCCCACCACTCCGGGATTGGGGTGGGGGGCAGTAAGCAAGACTACCCACGTCCCTAGCCCACGCCAGCACTCACAGCTGGTCTCTTCTCGGAGGGCCCTGTCTGCCGGGGCGCAGAAAGCAGGAGGTGCACCCAGACTCGGGCCTGCGGACCAAGGCATGTGCACCTGTTACCTGAGGCCTACTAGTCTTCTTGGGCCTCACTTGAGAAGCCCTCCTGGACTCCTCTTCAAGGCCCCCAGAAACCAGGGGGCCAGGGTTCTGCCTATCACACCCTGGGAAGAGGTCAGGCTCAATAGCAGTACTGCTCGCTGGTGGGCGTTGGCCATTTGGGACTCCATGAACAATAGCGATGCCCCTGCACCCAGCCTGTCCACAGCCAGGACCTCCTCCCTCCCTTGCCCAGCCCCTCCTCATCCCTTACCCACGGGGCGCTGAGGCCACTCAGTGAGTGGCAAAGTAGAGACTCACTTGTGCTCTGGGTCCTGTGGTTTATTGTCCAGATCGACCTGTATGCGGGGGCTCTCTTTGTGCACATCTGCCTGGGCTGGAACTTCTACCTGTCCACCATCCTCACTCTCGCCATCACAGCCCTATACACCATCGCAGGTACGGCACCTGGGCAGGGTCGTGGGGGGCGGTCTTGGAGAGAGGGGTTCTGATCACTGGGCGGGGCATCCGTGTAGCTGGTGGACATGGGCTAGAGTGTGAGAGGCTAGCAGGAGCCAAGGAGAGTGGGCAGGGGGCAGAGGGCCCCTCCTCCCACAGCCTAGGACATGGCTGGGCTACAGTCGGAGATTTATAGTCTGGCTCTGCGGGTCCAGCTTCTGGGTCCCACAGTTCACCCACCTGCGAGATGGTGGGGAACGCGGGTGTGAGCAGCTGCCCTCCTGCAGCTCCGGCTCGCTTCCCCAGTCCCCCTCCTCCAAGAGCAGGGCCCCTCCAGCTCCCTGTTTTCTCCTGCAGGAGGCCTGGCTGCTGTGATCTACACAGATGCCCTGCAAACGCTCATCATGGTGGTGGGGGCTGTTATTCTCACTGTGCAAGGTGAGGGCTGTGGGCCATGGCAGCAAGCCTTTGGGCCCTTGGGGTCAGTGCTGGGGGCAGGTTTGGCTCAAGAGGCTGGGCCCCTGCTGGCCTTCCCTGAGGGGTGGAGGCTGTCAGCCCCCTCCGGCCCACAGGGCCCAGCTGCGTTTCTGTCATAGCTCCCGGAGGACTCGGGGCTGGTACACAGCTGACTCAGGAACACCGGACCAGCCACACCTGCCCTGCCTCAGGGCGTGAGGGCAAGGTTGGACCCAGGTGGATGTGCTGACACACAATTAGGAGACCGCAAAACTGCCAGAGTGTCTGTTCCAGTTGTTCAGAACCATGTACAAGATCCCAGCGAGAGCTACTGCAGCCTGCTGGCAGAGCAGGGGAGGAGAGCCGGGGTTCAGACAGACCTGTGACACTGGCCTGGGGACAGAGAGGAAGCTCAGACAGTGGCCCTGAGGCCTCCAGAGGACTCCTCACCCTGGGAGTGTGCATGCAGAGCCACGGGGTCCCACAAAGGGCGAGCAGAGGCCTTCCAGTCTCCTCCAGACTCAGATGCTAGGGCCCTGGGGCCCGGCCATGCCTGTCCCTTGAGTAGTGTTTGTGCCTTTGCTCTGAGCACTCACCCCAGCCTGGCCTGGGTTCCGGGTGGTGAGGGTGTTGGGGACCCAGTCCAGGCAGCAGACTTCTTGCTTGGGGAAAGGGGCTGCTGTGGGTAGGGCCTGAGACTGGGGTTTTTCTGTGTCCGGGCTTCTGTGTGTCTGCCTCCTCTCAGACCAGGGGCCCATGTCTCTAGAACCCAATGCTGGAGAGAGCCTGAGGCAGCCAGGCCCAGTCTGGGCAGAGAGGAGTGACTGCAGACATGGCAAAGCCACAGGTGGGCCAGGGCTTGGCCATAAAGGGCTGACCCTGAAAACGGAGAGGGGGCGAATGTGGTCTGGGCTGAAGGCCCAGCTGGCCGCCCCTGTGACTTTGGTCATGCCCCTGGCCGGTCCCGCTGGACCTGTTTCCTTGCCCAGTGCCACCTCACTGCCAGCCCTTCTCAGCTCTGCCAAAATGCATGTCCTCCAGAAGCCCCCAGGTCAGCACCCAATACTCTAAACCCCTTGGAAGGCCCTTAAATGCTGAGAAAAAAATACTTCTGCTTCCTTGAATCGATAGTGTGAAGCCTGGCACAGAAGCCTGCTGCTTAAGGCCAATTGGTATCCAGAGGCCAACTGGACACTGTGCTGCCCGTGTGCAAAATGCTCATTTAATAGCATTGTTTTAAATACATATAAAATAGTCACTTAAATTCACCTTTTGGAAAACCCTGTATGAGGCCACACCCTTCCAGATGCTAGGAGAGGTGAAGTGGGAAAAGGCCAGGTGTGACACAGCAGGAAGCTCCTTGTGGGGGAGCAGTGGGGACTGGGAGTTAGGACCACTGGCCACCGACCGTCCTTGTCCTGTCCCTGCCAGCTTTTGACCGGATTGGTGGGTATGAGCATCTGGCGGCAGCCTACAGCCAGGCTGTCCCGAACAGGACTATCGCCAACACCACCTGCCACCTGCCACGGGCAGATGCCATGCACATGTTCCGTGACCCCTCCACTGCGGACCTCCCGTGGACTGGGATGACTTTTGGCCTGACCATCATGGCCACCTGGTACTGGTGCACTGACCAGGTGAGTGTCAACATTGCCTCCTGCCACCTTCTCGCTTTCCTCAGGGGGCTCTGGAGGGTCCCGGTGGCCCATCTGAAATCTGCCGTGTGGCCCCGGGGAACGCCTGCGTGTGGTGGGTCTGGGCATGAGTGGAGGCCAAGGATGGCCTGGCCCCAGGCCCACGGAGAGGGTGCTAGGGGTCCTTGCGGTCCTGGGGGGCCTGGGCCCTCCGTTTAGAATCAGATGAGGCCCACTGGCTGCCACCCATCCTGGCCTTCAAGTGCTTCGACTGGGACAGTTTGGAGTATGGGATTCCGAAAGGACTCGGGTGCACTCTGGTGGCCCTGCCATCAGTGAGGAGACTGGTGTTGCGGGCCAGCCTTGGGCTCCCAGGGTCTGGCGGTGTGTGGGGCCCGGGACCACCCTTGGCCTGCCAGTAATGGGAACCCGCTTTTCTGGTAGAGCTCTGGGTGCCCTCAGCAGTGGGGCAGTACCGCGTGGGTCCTGAGGTCCTCAACAGACGCGGGAAGCCATCTTTATCCCTGGTCCCCGAGGCAGGGACTCCATACTGGTGGTCCTGGGAAAGAGAGAACAGACAGAGTGACATCCCGCAGAGCAGCACCGTCTCCTCCCATGGGATGCTTGCCGGGCAGGCTGCAATCAGCACAGCCAGGCTTGTCTCCTGGCCCCGCCACTCACTAGCTGCTGGTCCAGGACAAGTCTGTCATGTTACTTTGTGCCTCAGTTTCCCCACGTGTCCTATGGGAATAATCTCGCCTTTGGTGGTGTGGTAAGGCAAGCTCCTACTCCTCCTCGATGCCCCTGCTCCAGCCTCCTCCAACCGTGAACAGGGCGGGGACAGGTGGTTGGAGGCAGTAGTTTGACCTGGGCCCGAAGTTCTGGTGAGTGCAGGGGCCAGGTCTTCTCCTGGAGTCTGTCTCCAGTCCTCTCTGTGTTGTGAATGCACTGGGTGACCTCAGACTGCCTCCTGCCCTCTGGGGTGGGGGAGGGTGGACAATGGCCGCCACTCAGCCTGCCCTGGAAGGCCATGGGCAGCTCCTGGCAGCACTCAGGTGGGCGAAGGCCTCTCGAAGCAGCAGGGCCTTGGCAGGCACAGGCCTGATGGCTGTGCCTCGGACCCCGGCAGGGCCCCATCATGGGAACGAGGCAGCGGGGTCAGTGAGGACAGCCTCCTCTGTGGGGGCACCCAGAGGGAGGGATGTTTCCCAGGGCCATGGCTGCCCATCCAGCGAGGGGAGCGTTTGGAGGGTCCCCCTCTCTTGAGCAGCAGGTGTGCATTTGCTGGAAGCCTCTCCCTGAGCTATGGCAGTGGGAAGCTCCCAGGGCCACACTGGAGGCTTCAGAAACCCTGGGAGCCTGGGCCTCAGTTTCCTCATTTGTAACATGGGGCCCCCAGATTCCCACATCAGCCTCGCCTCACACGTGGGCCTCCCAGGACACGTGGTTTCCCAGCAGGCACTTGTCGGGCTCCCCTGGGAGGGCTATGGGCCAGCCCCAGTGAGTGAGGGCTGGCTGTGGGGCATGCTGGGAGAGCCGGTCTGTGCCCTCCTCCCCACCAGCACTGGCATGTCTGGGCTGCACGGCACTGCGATTTTTCCATGAAGGCTAAGTGGGCCTGGCCTCGAAAGCAGGGCTGAGTGGGCCTCACTGCCCAAAAAGGGGGCCACACAGGAAGGCACGATACAGCCCACAGCCTTACTTCCCCATCTTCCTCTTGCTTAGTCTAGGTCTGCCTGGGGGTAGCTGGGCCTTGGTCCAGGGCATCCACAAGGCAAGGACTGCATCACTGGGTCCCACCTGTTTAGTCCTCCTGGTCCTGCTCTGCTGTGACCCTCACCAGCAGCTGGGGACTCTGCAGGACTAACTCTACTCAGGCACAGGCCAGGGTGCCCCTTCGAGAGGCCCAGCCTGGGGAGCACCGGGGGCAGTTCTGTGTGCTAGGACCATGGGTGCTTCTTGTCTCCTTCAGAATTTTTCACTGTCTCCCAGCTCGTCCACTGTACATGGGCTACCCTTTAGTAATCAAAACCAAACAAAGCCAATCAAAGAGGAGGCCTGAGGAGCACTGAGCTCAGCTTCTCCACCTGCAGGATGGGGCTGCAAAGCCAGCCTGGCTTGCCTCCCAGGCTGGCCTGCAAGGGCCTGCGAGAGCACAATGAAGTACAGAGCTCAGGGTTTAGGGAAACGCTTCTCTTCCCCCCCGAGGAGTGGCCCTGGGCTCTTGTAATGACAGCACATCAGTGGGGACAGTCCACAGGGAACCGTGTCTGGCTCCCTCCTTGTCCAGACAGGGAAACCGAGGCCCAAACTGAGGCTAGGACTGGTCCCCAAGTCACTGGAAGCTGGTGGAGAAGCAGGACTGACAGCAGCTCGTCCTGCACGTCCGTGCCACCACTCCTGGCACCCTGTGACTCCAGGATCACCAAGAGCCCTGCCTCAGGGGGTGTGCTGGAAGCTGGCTGTCCAACTAGCACGTTTGGAACATAGTTAATGTCACAGGTAATTCCTACTCCTGAACTGCTGCCAGTGACCGACACTGCAGACAAGCAAAGGGAAGAAAGTTCCAGATGGCAGAGTGTTGTGGACATACTTAAAAGCACTGAAATGTAAACTTCTTGTGGCTGAACCACGGGTGAATTATACCCCAAGAAAACTGTTTAAAAAAAAAGTTTTGTTTTTTTAAAAGTAGACTCGTGCCAGGGTTGGTGTGGCTGAGTGGACTGAATGCTGGCCTGCGAGCCAAGAGGTCGCTGGTTCAGTTCCCGGGCAGAGCACATGCCTGGGTTGCAGGCCAGGTCCCTGGTTGAGGGTGAGCAAGACTTGATCACATCGATGCTTCTCTCCCTCTCTTTCTCCCTCCCTTCCTCTCTCTCTAAAAGTAAATTAAAAAAATCTTAAAAAAAAAAGAATCATAATGTCAGATGCTGGGAGGGATCTCAGAGGCCATCAGTCCCCATTCTGTAGACCTGGAAACTGGGGCCTGGCTAGGGTCTACCCATGGCAACCTGAGGGGCTGCCCCTGGGCAGTCCCAGCCCCTCCCCTACTCAACAGCCAGGGAGACTGTGGAGGCTCCCCTAGACCCCAGGCCTGAGAGCTCTAGACCCCTGCCAGTGACACGGAACAGTTGGTGCCAGTGTCACCTCTAGGCACATGCATGAACATGCCAGCCATTCTCATGAGGCACTAGAGATGGGGGAGTCCCCTGACAGTGCTCCACCTAGGGTCTCCTCCAGTCCTGCCAATGGTAGGGTGCCAGGCCAGGCAGCAGCCACACCTTCCTTACTCATCAGCCAGGGAGACTGTGGTCCTGGAAGATGAGGACCTGGGCCCCAGTCACTTGGCCAATCAGGGTGAGCTCTGCTTCTGGGGGGAACCATCAGGGGTCAGGTTTGGGCTTTGGTTATCTCAGGTGAGTCTGGCACTAGAGGGACAGCATCTCATGCTACCCCCTGAGGCCCACCAGGGAGAAGTTTGGCCACAGGCACCCCTGACAGGGGCTGGGACTCACACTCCTCACGTGCCCACAGGTCATCGTGCAGCGGTCGCTGTCTGCCCGGAACCTGAACCACGCCAAAGCGGGCTCCATCTTGGCCAGCTACCTCAAGATGCTGCCCATGGGCCTGATCATCATGCCGGGCATGATCAGCCGTGCACTATTTCCAGGTAGGGAGGGTGCCGGAGGCTGGGCCGGGGCTGCGAACGTTGTCCGGAAGAGGCAAAGGAAGAGTATGAGCTGGCTCGAAGGAGTTGGGGGAGAGTGGTCCCGGGACCACTTTCCAAGGGGCCAACACACAGGTGGCTTGGCACAGGCCCAGACAAGGCTTGCCTGCTGGAGGGTACTTGGGGGTATAAGCAAGTACCTTCGCCACTGCCATTTCCTCATCCAGAAACCAGGCACTGACTTCCCAGAACACCACAGGCCTGAAACCTCTTGGGTGTTAAGTGCTTTCATTCAGCTCCCAGTAGCAGGCACAGGCTGCCTTTAGGGGGTAGTGGGGCCAAGGTCTCCAGCACTGCCACATGTGTGGCTGGGGTGGCTCCTACCCACTCCTCACCCCCTGTTCATCAGTGTCCCCATCTGTAACAAGGAAAGGGTCTGAGCCAGGGATGAGGGAGCCCAGCAGAAGGCTGTTCCGGGTGCTCAGGCCCAGGGAAAGGGGCTCCCAGACCCCTGGTGCGAAGAGACCCCAACCCACCTGTGCGTCCTTGTCCATGGAGCACAAGGACTGCATGTTCCTCAGAGTGCCCGCGTCCTCTCTCTGCCGGCCCTGGGCCCACGGTGAACCACATAGGTGCTCACCAAAGGTCCTATGGGTCATGTTGGGGGCACTCAGCTGTCGGCGGGGGGGCTGGGCCGGCCCATTAGCTACCTGCTCTGAGTGGCGCCTCCGGAAAGGGGCTTGGTGTCCCCTCAGCTCAAAACACTCATCTGACACAGAAGAGGAGGCCATCGAGGGCCTCCGAGGGCCATGGCCAAGGCCAGAGCTGCCTGAGAGGCTGTCCTGGTCACTGAGGGTCACGTAGTCATCGTCATCTTCCTCCTCTTCCTGATCTAGCCCATTGGAAATCACCACCCCATTGCCATCAGGTTCATCCTGCGTCGCAAACAGCTGCTGCTGGGGCAGGGACTGGCCTGGGCCTGGTGTTCCGGGCAGCCGGTGGTCTGTCCTGCTCTGAGGTACCTCCTCTCTTGGGCTCCCCAGCACCCCACCTACGCCGCCACCACCCTGGGCAAGCACGTCTGCCACAGGCACTGTCCGGGGCTTGGGCACGGGGGGCTGTGGTATGCGGTCCTCCTCAGGTAGGCCGTTCTTGGCAGGGACCGCATCCTGGGGGTTACTGGGCTCTGGAGTGGGGCTGCAGTCCTGGCTCTGCCTCCACAGCTGGGCCCCGGCCTGGGATGTGTCTCGGATCTTGATGCGGTTTATCTGGCTGGGCTGAGGGTTCCAGATGTTGGGGTCGATGATGTTGATGTAGCCCAGGATGTCACTGCCTGGCTCTGGGTCCGGCTCCACCCATGTGGGCAGGTAATCGAACATGTTGGCTCGCTCCAGGTTGAGCAGCCCCGGGTGGATAGACAGGACCGGCTCGGGCAGATCTGCTGGCTGTTCGGCCAGCGCCGCGCCCCGCAGCCCCGGGGGCTTCTTGACCTCCTGCTTCTCAGAGGAGACCTTGGCGATCTCCTCAGCACTCTTAGCCTTGACCAGCGCATACTTGGGATTGACAAGCTTCTTGGCCACAGTGCCGGAGGGCACCAGAGGGGCCACGGCAGGCAGCAACACGGGCTCGGGCTCGGGCTCCTTCTCCATGGGGATGCCCTTGAGGCTGACGCTGTGTGACGTGAGGTACAGCTCCTGGAACTGCCGGTCGAACGTCTCCACCACCTGGCCAGACAGCACGGAGATCACGTTCCGGTCTGTCCTCGCGGCTGACCACGTGAAACTGCAACACAGGGCAAGGGGGCCGCCTGGTCAGGCACATGGGGCCCGCCTGCTGCCTCAGGCCCCAGGTCCCCCCCACAGTGGGTGTCGGAGAGAGCCGCCATGCACCCAGCAGGCTGCTCTCTACTGGACCGTGGCTAAGGGGCCCTAGATGGGACTGATCCTTGAGGGGAACCAAGGACAGGGCACAAGCCTCAGGGCCAGACCTGGGACTGGGTCCTCAGGCAAGTCACAGACACTAGGTCCTCTGTCACCTGTACAAAACAGCACAGTGCCACGCTCCCCTGGGGTCACAGGATGCCCAGAACAGCCTGGACACACGGTGTCTTTGTCCTACCACCCTTCTGAGTGGCAGCGCCCCCCTGACCCACCCATGCATGGCGGGGTTCCCGAAGCTGGGCCACGGTCATCCTCATTCTGGGCCTGGCCCTGAGGATGGCCTTCAGGGCCACCACTCCATGGACCTGGGGAGACACAGCCAGGCCTGGCCCACACCCTACTCCAGTTGGAGTGAGTCTCCTGAACAAAAGCCCTCCTCTGCCTGCTTCTGGAGATGGGCGGCTGGCGTGTGGGTGTGCCCCAACCCAGCTCACACCTCAGCAGTTTGGGGACCAGTGAACCGGAATAACCAGGGTGTTATGAGGCAGGATTAAGGACAGAAACCAGCTGAGATCCAGAGCCGCCTCTCCCCCAGCCCCCAGAAGGTCAGGGAGTCACCTGTAGGAGCCGCAGACGGCTCGGTCTCCATCCACGAACATGAACTTCTGGGCCAGGGCGCCCTTGAACTTGATGGCTGACCTCGTGAAGAACTCTGTTCCCCCGCTGCTCCGTACCCTGAGATTCTATGTTGGGGGATAGAGACAGAATTACATAGCCACAGCACTGACCACATGGAGGGAGGCCTGGCAGTCGCTGCCTGGAGCCTCAGGGGCCTTGGGGGAACCTGGGTGCTGAGGCCTGAAGTGAGGGGGTGATGTGTGTGGGGACTGCGGGGTTAGGCCCAGGTGGGACGGCAGGGATGGGAAGCTGGAGAGGAGGGTGGGGGCTGGTGTTGAAGGGTCTGGGCCTGGCTCGTGGGTGCGCGCAGGGTAGCCGGCAGGATGAGACCTGCGCAGCCAGGCCAGTCTGGGGAAACGCTGCTCCAGGTGGTGGGTTGTTGCAGGGCCTTGGGCAGGAGGGGATGTGGACTCATTGCGGAGAGGTCCCAGTGGGGGCAGGGGCTGTGTGGTGGGGAGACTGAGGCCTGCCCTAGGGATCTGGGCCGGCACTCTGGTAGGGCACTGGCCCTCCTAGGATGAATGCCTGGCAGGCCTTGCCCTGGCTCTGCTTCTCTCAGCTGTCTCTTCGTCGTCGTTGCTGATCTCTGCTCCCAGAGGGCAGGGCTCCAGCAATCTCTGCTACTTCTCTGGGGGCCAGCCCACCGCCTGGCACCCAGAAGCAGTTTGGGACACAGTCTGATCCCACTCCACACTGGGCCTACACTGTCTGGCTTGAGAGCCAGCCAGAGCCACTGGGAGGCCATGGAAAGGGGTGCTGAGACCCAGAGAGAGGAGAGGGGGTCCTCCCAGGAGTCACAAGCAGCGCCTCAAGTCCAAGACCAGGCCATGCCTGCCTTCCTCTGAACTCTGGCCGTGAGGTGCCCTCTTGACCTGGTTTGAGGTCTAGGGGTATCTCTGGGCTGCGTGCTGTAGGGCGGGAAGGCTGGCTCCCCTCCCCTCCTCACAGAAGGAGGCCCTAGCTCTGAGGGAGGGGCAGGATAAGCCAGGCTGAGACCCCCAAGTTGAGGGGATGGCTAGGGGAACCCCAGCCCTCAGGCCTGGAAGGAGACGTAGGCTCCTGGTGCAAGCAATGCCCAGCAGGGCGTCGGAAACACCAGCTCCTGGTGCCCCCAAATCACTGGGTTGGTGGGGGCGGGGCGGCTGGGGACTCCGCTGCTAATGCAAGCCCTAGGAAATCCAACACCTGCCCAGGGCAGGAACTCCCCTAAGGACAATCCAACAGGGCTGCCTGAACGCCCATGCGATGGGAGTCCCACGCTCTGCTGAGGCCCCTCGTGCCAGCTTTGGGCCCTGGGCTCTTACACCTTCTGTGACTTCTGCCATGCCCCTCACCCACTCACTGGCTTCAGTCTGCTGACCGCCCACCTGCTCTGTTGCTACCCAACCCCTGCCGAGGCCCCTGGTTGCAGGCGGAGATGACTGGCCGGAACACGCCGAGCTGGTGGTGAGGAGGGATGACGACAGCTGTGAGGGCTGGGAGAGGCTGGCACTCGAGGACAGGGAAGCGGGGCAGGCTCAGGGTGAGCATCCAGACATGGGAACACAAAGGCTGCTGACCAGAGCAGCAGCCTGTTTTAAGACACATTCAGACTTTAGCGGAGGAGGGCGGGCAACGGAGCGTGCAGAGCAAGCTCAGCTGGACCTCTGACAGACCCTACACCTGCTCAAGGTCCTGACTCGGCCTTGGGGAGAGCGGGGTGCATGGGAGAGTTCAGAGCAGGGAGTCGCAAAGTTGGTGCCGCACCTCAAGTAGAGGATAGCATCCAGCAGATGACTCGTGAAATGAAGGGGGGTCAGGGGCCGAGGACAGGGAGGGGGGCCACCGTGGGCAAGGGAGGTGGGCCTGAGTCAGGGCGGGGGTCACAGTGGGGAGGGGATGGGCCCGAGAGAGCCAGAGTTTGTCCTCCACAACTGCCCATCACCTCCAGGTGCTACTGCTGGCCGTCCCTTCTGTGGCAGGGCCTAGATCCCTCCGCTCGTAGGCTGAGGGGCAGCTACGAATGCCTGCCTGGCTGTGGGGTGCACAGCTGTCCTGTTGTTGGGCCCAGCCCAGAAGCCTCCAGTCCCAGGGCTAGCTCTGTCTACCAGTCAGGCTGCCTGTCTGCACACAGCCAGCTCACAGCCAGCTCAGCAGGAAGCTGGACGTAGCCCAGGACAATTAGTGCTCGTGACTTTGCACCCAACACAGAGCACGCTCCCGACCAGAAACTGGAGCAAAGAGCCTGGAGGCAGTACAAGGCCTTCCTGGTCAACCACAGCCAACTCCATGGCTACTGTGGGTCCCTGGCTCTGTGTTTGGTGGGCTGGGCCACAGGCCTCTCCTTGGCCTCACTTCCCCTCTCACCAGCACCTCTCCCCACCCACCCCAAATCTTGTCTTGCTGGAGGCCTCAGAGGTCACCATCTACATCTGAGACAGACTCAACTCCACATGAGAGGCACCA